GACTAGGCTGCATCAGTGTGGTCAGGGCTGAGTCCAGTGACGAAGGACAGATCAGGCACAACGGGAAAACTATTTGATTGACTTGAGAAACTTAACAATCTGAAGGCGGATATCACATGCAGATACGGCTGGATCCAGGTGACTGATGGTATCGAGAGCTGATCTCACAAAATGGCATGCCTGGTACAGTGGTCCTGGGCATTGCTTTTGTTCTCCAGCTGATCTCTCCCATACAGTAGTGTAGCCCAGTGGTAGGACACTTGCCATAATGTCCAACAGCTTGGGTTCCATCCTCAGTAGGGTTAAGACTCTTAACAACCCAACTTCAGTTCTAACACAGATCATCCCTGTGGCCAAAAAGGTGATGCACAGACATCCCCTTCTGGATGTGCAAAAGCAGGCATGCCCATCCACGTCCATGCCCATTCAATCCTGCCATGGCAGCTGTGCCAGGTATCGATCCAGGATGCAGATAGAGCAAGGAGGCAGAGGAGGACTCGGAAGACACAGCAAGACAGGCAGTGAGTAAGCCCCAGGGTATCCTGGGAAGGGCATGATGGACTGAGTAAGGAAAGGCAGGAGGAAAGGGGAGCTTGAAATAAAGGGCCCATTGAGGTCCTAAGTGTGAAACAGCATAGGTGAAGTCAACAAGGGCAGGGGAGATGCAGGATGTAGGGCCCAGTCAGTGAGTCACAGGAGGAGCTCCGAGCCTCAGTGAGTAGTTTCATGTTAGTGAAGGGGCTATCACCATGTCATGGGGTGCACTGCTTGTGCTCACAGTATAAGCAATAGGGGCCTCTCTGGGACTTCCTCCAGTATAGCCAGAGCCTCCACTCAGCCCACACTGTCTTGTGGAACAGGAAGGAGCCCCTGCAGGCTGCCAACCTGAGACACAACACAGAAGGAGCTGCCATTTAAATGAGTCTGGTTCGCCAGGAATCTTTTTAACACAGGTGTATTAAATTTATCTGGCCACCACTGGTAAAGGTGACTCATGGAGGTCCCCTCCTCTGCCTGTTCTGCAGACCCTAAAAAGGGAGTATTCAGGATGAGGATGACTGTGTAGCTTGGCAGCTGACTTGTACAAGAAAAGCACTACTCGGTCCCCAGTGGGGCAGCTATTGATTTCTGCGTGGTCAGGAAAAGAGAATAGGCTGAACCTACTCTTCAGGCCATGGGAGCTTTCTCAGGCTTTCAACGTGCAGAGCTAAGCGTGTGTGTGACCTGCAGACACACCATGGATGATACAAAGAGTGGCTAAACTGTCTATGCGTTCACAGGACTTTGTGAGATGGGGTGAACTGTAGGCTAAGGAGGAGGAGTCACAAAGGAAAAATGAAGTCAACTACGGTGGGAGGGCGGGGCCTGGTGGTGGAGCAGCCTGGGGACTGCTCCTTGGGGACAGGAGTGGCTAGACATCTCTAGAAAAGATACTCTCTTGTTCCACGTGAAATCACAATAGCGCCACTCAGTCAACAACGTAGTATGCTATAGCTTGAATTCTAAATGTTTTCCAAAGGCCACATGCTCTAAAGCTGTCAGTTCATGGAGGGCATGTCCTTGAGGGTGTATCGTGCCAGCAGCCTCTTCTCCCTTTGCTTTGCTCTCCCTGACAAGATGCCATGCCTCTCCATGGGTCCCAAAGCGACACAGCCTAAAACCTTGGAAACCATGAGTCAAAATAAACCTCTCCTAACTCCTTAGATTTTTGTGTATGAGTCTATGGGTGTTCCCCAAGGCCAGAAGAGGGTTCCAGACTCTCTGGAGCTGGAGTTGGAGGCAGAGGTAGAAGTAGGCCAAGCATGGGTGTTGACCCAAAGTTATGTTCTCTCCAAGAGCAGCATGTGCTATTAATGGCTGCGCCATCTCTTCAGCCCCCTTTCCTTCTTACACGCTGTCGGAACAGGAAGCTTGTCTGTGCTTGCTTCGATTTCCTTTAGCATGTGTGTGTGTGGATGTATGCATGCCTGTGGAGGACACTGACCACTGTCAGTTGTCTTTCTCACTCACTTTCCACCCTAGTGTTTTTTGCAGCAGGGTCTCTCACTGGGACCTAGAGCTCACAAGTTTCACTAGGCTGGCTGGTGAGGAAGCCCTTGGGGATCCTCCTGACTCCACCTCCCAGCACAGGGATTACAGGTGTGCCGATGGATCTGGCTTGAACCTGGGTGCTGGGGATTAAATTTGATCCTTATGCTTACAAAGGAAGCACTTTACTGACATCTCTCCAGCCCTTATCTGGCTTTTAGTGAATAGCCCAGTGGTTTGGGTTTTGGCTGTTTATCACTCAACTTTCACTGTATCAGGGAATGCAATCCATGGCATTTCTATGTACTGGTTTCTGGTAGTGATCAGTCCTTTTGATTATGCAGGGTTTACTAGTCTTTCACACATGGCTGGATTCTAATGTGTGTTCACAGGGCCACTCAGTGAGGTCCTTCTGAGATAAGGACCAGCATCTCCTGCTATGGCTGGAGACTGCATTTCTTACCACATCCTAAAATCCAAACTATCTTCATAGTTTTTCGTTTTGTTTTTCTAGAAAAAGATACACATCACGTGAGAAAGTACCACTTTCACACACTGGCATGTTCTGTCTTGTGCTGTTTTGACACTACTTCCTGCTTTCCATTGGCACCTGTCTCTCGTCGGACTCTGGTCTTTGTTTTTGGTGGTCTCCTGTGACCATAATGTTTACATGCCAGCCGGGAGGTTTCTAATTTTCTGTTCCCATTTACTGTGTGGTGATTCAAACTACACTGACAGCTGTTTCAGACTTTACTCCTTTTTGGTCTTGAGATGTTCAAAGGATTGAGCCAGCTGCTGTGGCAGCACAAGATGAATGCGGCTCCTTTTGAGGCTGGTGGTGTCGAACAGCAAGTGTGACAGCATCAACTCAGGAGACAAGGCACACTCCCAAGCTTGTTCTCTGCAGGACTCTGGGAAGAAGACTTAGCACTCAGAAAGGGCTCAGTGTCCACAAGGATGGACATGTACACAGTTAAAAAAATAAAATAAAATAAAAGGCAGCTCGCCTTGACACCACCATTCGACAGGAACAAGTTTAGGACCAACCTAAACCACTACAGGGACCTCATCTTTATTCTGCAACAAGAATTGCCTCCTCCAGAACTGTTTTCCATACACAGACCAGGTTCTCCCAGAGCTGTCCCAGACTACACACACTTAGGCACACTGAGATTGTCCCAGCTTACCTGTGGCCTTGTGTAATACACATTATCTTCTCTTTTCTACCACGGCCCTCCTCCCTAGCTTTCCAAAGTAGCACAACGTGACCCCTACCCCCATTTATCATTAGTCAGCTTACACACACACACACACACACACACACACACACACACACACAAAGATATATAGATGTTCGTGTTATTTTTAAACTTTATGTGTAGACATGCAAGCGAAGAGGCCCACAGAGGCTAGACATCAGATTCCTTGGAAATGTAGTTACAGGCAGTAACTGTGAGCCACCTGATGTGGGTGCTGGGAACCAAACTTGGGTCCTCTTCAAGTACGTGATCTAACTGCTGAGCTACCTCTTCCGATCCCAGCTTCCCATTACTCTAAAGTATCCCCAAGAAATCAGCATACACAAAAAGGGGTTACTCTGGCTCAGTTCTATGTCTCAATGTTTGGTTGGCCCTGTGGGAACTTTTAATATGAGCACCTTTGGGGACATTCAAGATCCAAACTGCAGTGCAACTGTCCTTATTTCCTGTTTGTTCTAGGGATTCAAGACTGTTTGGAACCATCAGCTGTCGTTCTAAGATCTTTGCCAGGACTCATCTTGTGACCCAATCAAAAGCTTCTTTAGTTGGTGCTTGTTGAATGTATCAGAACCTTTCCCCAGAAAACAGACACAAACTCTGCAGCGCCCAAGAGCCTCCCCACAGGTCCCAGACTGTCAATCTCTCACAGCCACTTATTAAGAGCAGACCTTGACCAGGGCCAACAGAACTTGGCAAGGGCATCATTCAGGAGACACAAATGCAGAGCATACATGAAAATGGAATGCAAAGCTAGGCCTGGTGGTGAATGCCTTTAGTCTTAGGTAGGGGCAGGTGGACGGAAGTCAGCCTGGTCTACGTCCTCCAGGATAGTAAGGGCACCATGTGCACCCCCTCCCCAACAGAATGAAATGCAAAAGTTCACCTACACAAGAACCGCAAATGCGGTTACCTCATTCTAAAAACAAGTTTCAGCCATATCCTTGTTGGTGCATCCATACAGACTAAACATCAGGGGAGTTGGGCATTTGGGGGATTTTCTGTAGTACTAAGAACCAAAGCCATGGCCCTGTGCACATTAGGTGATCATTCTACAACTAAACTTCATCTCTGGACTTGCTAGGCATTTTCTGCCATCCTACAGGTAGAGCGATTGAAGGCACTGTGGAAGCTGGCACGTGCACCACCTGTTCATGAGGCTCTAACTACTAGAGCAGTGCTGGCTGTAAAGATGGGGACATGTGCAGGCCAGGGCCAGAGAGTACCCCTCCACATGCCCTCACGGCACACCATTTGAGCAGACTAGGTGCCTCCTGTTAACATATAGACCCTCAAGTCCTTCCTTGAGGACCTTGTATCCAGAAGGGCCCCACCATCATCACTTGCCAACAGTTCTCTCAGGAGAGTGTTAGGGCAGCGGCCACTTCCCTCTCAGTCACCAGAATGTAGAGTTGTCCCCTCACAGCCAGTGGCTGCTAGGTTGCTTCACAACGGGTTATACATATGCCCCTGCTTCTTAAAACAGTGTCTTATATCTTGCCAAGGGTGTACCAGTCAGAAGAGACAAGAATGGAATCGTAAAAGACATGCCCAAGGGTCCAGGCAGACAATAGCAATGACCAGAACCAGCTATGCACAGAATATGATTGCTACCAACATCTTAAGGTTAAATTTTGTATAAAAACTATTCTACAGCACAAATGACAGCCAATCCCAAGCCCCAGGATTATGAATTCATACACCACACAGGAAACATGAGGCCCTGTTATAAAGTGATTTTATTAAATTGATTTTGACATACTGTAGGTCAAATAATATTTTCTGAAGATAACAATTATGGACTTTAAAGCTTGACATAAAATTAGTAGCTTCAAAAGTGTTAGTTGTATTCCCCAGCAACAGCATGATAAAATAATTCAACTATGTAGAAATATAGAACTCTAGGACTAGCTGGAAATTGGGAAATCATTTAGTCCAGTGCCCTCATTCAGTGAGAAAACTAGACCTGAAGATTAAGCAATTTGCCCAAGCTCACATACCTAATAGTAATAAAGCTAGAAATCAAACCAATTTTCCTAAACTAAAACTCTATTGATGATATTTCAACTGGCTATCAACAGAAAGTCTAGGCTTTTCTCTAACGCTCCACGCAGGGGCGACACGACACTACAGTAAACTGCAGTGGTGGCTGAGGCCAGGAAGGGGCTTTGTTAGCCAACAGCCCTCTGTGGAGAGGGGAAAGGCAGTGACCAGTGGGCCAGAGGCTTGCCAGAAGGTGTCTGCACTGAAACACATGGTGACAGAATCATTCCCAAACCCCACCCGCTGACTATGTGCTCTATGAAGCCTTCTATGCACCAAGACTTCGGTTTTACAAAAACCTCTTCCAGCCAATCACCAAGAAAAGAAAAAGAAAAAAAAAATAAACAAGCAGTCTTGTATTTCTAGCCATCTGGGAAGTTCTTTCTCCAGCCTTAGATGGCTGGCAGAAGCCACCAAGAAAGTCATCCACTTCAGACTTACAAGACATTAGTTTTCCCAAAGACTTCCTGAGCAAAGGACTCATGTGGGAGACGGAGAATGGGAATGAGAAGGAAACGGAAATGGGAGCTCTGTGTTGGTGTCACTGGGGACTTTTGGTCTTTTCAACATCCCTTGAGTTCCTCCATGAGTTATACCATCAGCCAGTAGAAACAACACAAACAGGCCCATAAATGCTGACTGCTAAGCTCATTGCTCAGTGCCTCCCCTCCCCACACACTACCTCCAACGCCTGCATCTCCGCCCCAGAGCCAGCAGCACCTGTGCTGTGTACTGTCATTGCTCCCTTCACCTGGCCCCAGTACCCTTAGCGCAGAGTTCCTGACCCTTGCTACCTGGCCCCCCACCCCCCTCTACATACCACCCTAGTTTATTCTCATAGCACTTAATCACTACCGCAAACTACATTACTTATGTGTTAACTTGCTTATCCCGTCTCCTCCGGAGGTGAATTTCATGATCCAGTGGCATTCCCAGCACCCAGTACATGTCCAACACCCAGGAGGCATTCAATAAATACTCAGTGAATGAATGAGGATGGATCAATAATACACACTCATGCCTAAAGAAAACTGTAATGTGATTCATGATGACGCCTACACATTATTGCCTGAGATGACAGATTCATCCTCCTTGACTCCCCAGTCAGCCTTCTCAAGGCGTCCCCAGCTGGTAGGGAACCCCACCACTTAAAAAAGGAGCCTGAAAGGGTCACTCTTGAAGCAGGCAAGCTTAGTTTGCTTGCTTCTTCCTCCCTGATATATACATTCAGCTACTTAAAAAAAAAAAAAAAAAAATTCAAGTTAAAGCATGTGACGCAGCCACTAGAAAATAGGTCTAACTTAGAGACACAGTGATTAGCAGAGTCCAAAAAAACTAAAGAAAAGTTCTAGGGCATGTACATCTGCCAGTGATTCCTGATCGGCTGAGTGAGTGCATATTATGACTTTCCTAAAATCTAAAATGAAATTTAATGCCATCTAGGAAGGGATAGGTTTTTGTAGGTATTCTGAGGACATGAGGTAAGGTGGATTCAGAAACAATAGGCTATATGGAAAGCTATGTCAGGGTTGAGTCGAATGGCAACCTCAGAAATACCAGGACTCGGCCTTCACGGGAGCTGTCCATTTTTAAACGCACTGACCAGTAGGTAGGGTCAAACAGGAAGGAGCATGTGCTCTGAAAGGGAGTGTCTGGAGTTGCCTGGAAGCAGAGCACAGACAGAAGTGACTCAGAGGCTGAGCAAGGCTCAAAACTTTTGAAGATTATTTCAACTGCTGAGGCATGTTGCTGGAGTCCCAGAAAACACCACTCCTGTGACAGGGACACAATGCTCCATCTTGGGCACACTCAAAGAATTCCGAGTTCAGAAAAACACAACCTCACCTCCTCTGAAAGAATGTTTTCCCAGGGACTACTGTAGATGTCCCAGGGTCAATGTAGGTGGATTCCGGACTTCCTTCCTAGTGGCACTTACGGATTTAAGATTTTTAATCCTTTACAAAACATCTTTATATAACTGATATTTTAAGATGGTTTCTCTCCTTGGTGTGTACTCTCTGGTGGATGCAAAGGCTTGTACTCTGGCTGAAGGCCTTGCCACACTCATCACACTTAAAAGGCTTCTCCCCCGTGTGCACTCTCTGGTGGATACAGAGGCTGGAGCTCTGACTAAAGGCCTTCCCACACCCACAACACCTATAGGGCTTCTCCCCCGTGTGCACTCTCTGATGGATGCAGAGGCTGGAGCTCTGACTAAAGGCCTTCCCACACTCATAACACTTATAGGGCTTCTCTCCAGTGTGGACTCTTTGATGCATGCAGAGACTGGAAGTATGCCTGAAGGCTTTCCCACATTCTTCACATTTGAAGGGCTTCTCCCCAGTGTGGACTCTCTGGTGCATACAAAGGTTAGAACTATTACTGAAGCCCCTTCCACACTCACTGCAGACATACGGCTTCTCCCCAGTGTGGACTCTCATGTGGATTTGAAGGTGGGAGCTCCAGTTGAAAGCCTTGCCACACTCATAACATTTATACGGCTTTTCCACAGTGTGGATTTTCTTATGTCTATTAAGTTTTGTTGTCGTGCTGAAATCCTTACCACAATCATCGCATTTATAGACCTTCTCTCCTGTGTGGTCTCGCCAATGAATATGAAGTTCTGATATGTGAAAGAAACCCTTATCACACTTGTCACATTTATGGGGTTTCTCTGCAGTGTGGATTTTCTGATGCATAAAAAGATCTGCTCTCTCAGAGAAAAATTCCCTGCACATGGGGCACTTGTAAATCATTTTTCCTATTTGGTATCGTGACTTAAAGAAGAAAGTGTCCTTACAATTATGAATTCCAGGACTGCTACTTCATAAAGCCTCTTATTTTGCCATCTTGGTAGTCTATCTCAGGCTTGCTCTATTAGGCAAGCTTTCTGTCAGCCTCAGCTTCTCCCTGCATAGTGTTCCTCACTCAGAGTTACTGATTGCAAAGTCACACTGACTTTCATATGAATCCCATAGGTCGTCAACATAGTTTTCTTTCCTTTAGATCCTGAGTGGTCAACATTCCAGGGGCAGGAAGTAGTAAGCCTTTGTTCTGAGCCCCTGGAGTCTTTCTGATGCACAGTACTCTTCTACTTCTCACTCATAAGACAAAGCCTGGGTAGCATGATCTGTCTGCCCAGGGCAGAAGGTGCCAGCTGGTGATGAGGCCCCACAGCACCCTCAGATGAGTCAGAACGTCACTCTGCCTCCTGTCCATCACATGGCAGGCCTTGCCAGCATGAAGGCTGCTTGGCTCCAGGGACAGTCAATCTTGCTCCTGAGGATTCTATACAGTAGCACACTGGTTTTCTGTAATACAAACAACAACATGCAATGTCCTTTTGGTCCAGAGACATCCATTTATCTCAGGATTATGTTACTTAAATGGGACAGTGGGACGACGACACACATACACACCTTTTCTTGATCCTGAGGAGGCAGCTCTCTTATCTTCCAGAAAGACGTCTCTTGGATCTGCAGGTCTGAGAAGAGAATTGGGAGAGATCATGCTCCTGTTCTAGGTCAAGTACATGATCAATTACAGTAGCTCATCAATTATACGAACATTTTCAAGAGAGAATCTGACAGAAGAGAACTCCTCCCGAGACCCACAAGAAATTCAAAGTGTAGCTGTCCTGAAGAACAAGAAAAATATCTCCACTTTGGAGGATTGACCCTTCGTGTGAGAAAGAAGATACGTTAGTATCAGTCTCTGGCTAAACCATCCTCAACGTCTTCCTGGCATGCTAACAGCATCCAATCCTTACCCTGAGTACTGAGATCCTGCATGGCCTGGTCTTCTCTGCTTTCTGCGCATGGTTTCTCTTTAGTTCTTACACAACCCAACTGCAGCCTGCCTTACTGCCTTTCCATACTGCTCTCAGAGCAGGATCCACTCTCCCATGAGGTTGTCAGCTCCCTTCCCTCTGAGTAAAGAAGGGCCCTAGCAGGATTCAACTTTAAACTTGTTTAGTTCCTTCAAGGCAAACACAACTTGTAATTATTTTGTTTCCTTGGGTTTTTATCTGCTAAGTAGGCCCACAATCCTTAGTGGGGTATGCTCATAATCCACTGGGGCTGCCTCATTCTAGAGAGCAGATGCAAAAACATTTGCCATTGACTTATTTCTGGGCTTTTGACAGCCACAAGGGGAAAAAAATAGAATGAGGAGGAGGAGGGGACAAAAGAAGCAAAATCCCCAGATCACTCACTGGAAATCATCTAAGCTATGTCGACAATCTTCTCATGTATTTTATGAAGTGATACATCAATTAATGAATAAAATGGCATCAACAGGCCTTTTCCCCCCTTTAGATGTGGGTGTGTACATGTGACAAGGCACACATGGAAGTCAGAGAACAACCTTAAAAGTTGGTCCTTATCCCCACCTTGTTTGAGATAGTCTTTGTTTTGTCACTGTGTATTGTCAGGCTGGCTGGCCTGGAGCTTCCAGGGAGTTTTCTGTATTCACTGTCCATTTCACAGTACAAGTGCTGGAAACATGCCAGCACACACACACCAAACATGCCCAAGCCCACGCTCAGCTCTACCAATGTTCTGTAGATTCAAACTTGAGTCCTCATGCTTGCACGGCATCTGCTTTTACCTACCTCCATAACCCTCAAAAAGCCTCCGTAAAACAACAGATTTTTTTAAAGGCTTTTTTTTTCCTTAATGTGCATGTATGTATGGATGGCTATGTGTGTACATGCTGTGTGAGTGTGTGCGTGTACATGTGTTAGTGGCCATGGAGGTTAAAGAAAAGGTCAGATTCTCTGGAGTTAGAGTTACAGGTGATTGGGAGCTGTCTGATGTGGGTGCTGGGAAATGAACTCTAGTCTTCAGGAAGAGTAACAAGATTGCTTATCCACTGAGCCATTTCTCTAGCTCCCAAAATGACACTAGTGATTGCTCCACATACAGACAGGATACATGTGACCAAAACTTCAACAGAGAGATGGCAAAAAAGAATTGCTTGCTCTGGATCAAAGTGTAGGACTGTGAGATTCTCACAATATGGCAGTTGTCACTGCCCGAGGCCAAACGAAACCTCTGGGGTAAGTCACCAGGGAACTGGCAGAGAAACCTTAAATCAAACTGTGCGGGCAGTTAACCTGTTTATCGCAAGAAGACAAGGGCACAGGACATGGGGCTCTAGATTAAAGACAGCTAGAGTATCATACACTAGCAGGTCTTTGAAACCTAATGCACATACATCAACAGCTAAGAAACTATAAATTAGAACATGGGCACTCTACCTAGGGAAATGCCACAGGATTACATAAAGCAATGTCTACTCTTGAGTCATTGTGAATCCCACAGGAGTGTTAACAGTATTTCATAAACAAAACAAGAAAAAAAAAAAGCAGGCAAAAGTACAAATGGCAAGCCTTTCAAGCCACTGAATTTAGGGCACAGAAAAAGATAAGGAAGAACACTGTGTATCTTGCTCTGAAGTGCTAAGAAAACATGCACCCCCATCCTCAGGTTCTTCCGCAACAGCAAACATGACTGAGGACCACCCCCAGGAATGCCATGATACTAATGAAATGTAAGTCTCCAGTTGAGCCTACACCCAGGGAGGGCTCTGAGAAAGGGACGGCTGTGGCAACCACAGCAGAGGACAAAGGAAGCCACTAACCTTTCTTCTGGGCCAACTCCAACACAATTTTTAGGAAAACAAAACAGAAAAGAAAGAAAAAAGGGGGGGCAAATGAAACTTTAGAAAATGTGCCAGGTCAAAGGCCACAGACAAAGCTCCATAGGTTAGAGCGCCTTAGACAAGGGTGTGGCTTAGTGACCTGTAAGTTCTTCATGGCTTCTAGAACATTTAAGATTTGGCCTATGCTCATCTTCCCTACCCAGCTACTCCTACCTGGTGTGATTATCTGCTCAAACTGGCCTCACATGCAGGTGAAATTGACGACTGGTGCTGTGAGGCAAGAAGTCAAGAAATGCATCTTAAATGCCAGGAAAGGACAGCAAGAAGAGAGGCTTTAGGCTGTGGCACTGCATAGGGGACTCTGGTGGTAGCACATGGGCAGGACGGGTGGACAAGGGAACAGCTGATGGCAGACTTTCCTCAGTGGCTGTCAGGCCACAAAGCCACATGAAGGTTGTACTACTACACCAGCACTCTTCCACAGTGCACAGGCTTCAGCTCCTAGCTCCAGGGAGGAAGATCAGGAGAAGAATAGAGCAAGCACAGACCCTCCACTCCAACCGAGACCTAGGTTGAGGCAGAATTTGAGTGACAGACAGCCCCTCTGCTTGGGGGAAAAAAAGAAAAAAAAAGAAAAAAAAAAAAAAAGAGTTAAGGGGGGGGGGGGGGGGGGGGGGGGGGGGGCGGCTGGTAGTAGCATTGGAAACACAGTATCCTTTATATAACATTCTCTGGCATGTGCATGGCTGACCAGAAAGTTTGTTTGTTGGGGAGGAGAGGGGAAAAAAAAAAAAAAAGGAGCTCTTGAATTTCTTAGGGATTTCTCCACATAGGTCCATAATTTCCACGCTGTAATGAAGAGCAAAGGTGCGCCATCTTCACAGAGCAGAAGCATGGTGAGTCGGCACACTGTGGGGTAGGTCCCAGGAAAAAATAGGCACAAACACTGGATGGCACTTCTCTGAGGTGCCAGCAGAGGATGGTAAGCTATAACTGTGCTGTGTGGACAACAGAGCAGGGGTGTGACACCCCAGGTGAGTTCCTGGACAGCTGCGGCCACACACAGACTCCAACTTCAGCCAGCCACTGTGGAACAGGCAGAGGTCAGGACTTCCATACAGGTATGGAGCTGTTCCCACTGGCTGAGAGAAAACCAGAAACTACAAACCCAGCAGCTGAACTTGCCTAGCCTTGCTGGCTAGGTGAGGTTAGCTGAATGGCACTCTGGGAGATAACTCCCGGAAGACCATTGGAAGATATGTGCAGAGCAGCTGGGGGCTGATGGAATAGGGGTGAGGAAATTATGTGCATCCCCCCTCCCTGCCCCAACACAAGATGCGAGATTGAGTGAGGAGTATATGCTAAATGGAAAAAAGAAAGGGATTTCCATAGTCCTCCCTCAGGAACAGGCGTACAGGTCCCAACATGGTTCTGTACCTATTTTAAAAATTGAGATAATACAAATGGCCTTGACAAAGACCTGGCATTGGAAGCTCAAGGCTCTGTGCTTTGTTCTGTTTGAAAAAAAGGTGGCTGTCCTCATGCTCAGGCTATTGAGACCAACAGCAATCGGTAACCAGCACTCACCAAGGCTAACTCTGGGAATGACCATAAACAAGAACATGCAGCAGGTGGCACTCGGGTTCAAGTCCTATAGGGATGAGTTCCTAGGAGTACATTTGTTCCTTTCTTTATTTTGAAGTTCATTTGAAATTTTCATAAAAAGCCCGAAGCTTCTGCTGTAATAAGGAGTTCTCAAGCCCCGAGAGAGAGAAACACACAACAGTACTCCTACAATTCAGTTGAGTTATCTGTGCAACCCAGCCACAGCATCTCTATGACACAGAGGCTAAAAGCTAGCCTGTGTGTCTGCTAGCACCTTACCCAGGGCCCAAAAGAGTCCTTTGTCCAAAAATACCCCACACCATGCAGTCTTTTCTGCTCACAAGATCTCCAGTCTCCTGGCCAATCCTGGTTCTACCCCTGAGACACTGGTTGCCTCCTTTCCCACTTCCCATTCTAGCTCAGTTCCCACAGTTCCCACCCCCACACCTATGGTGGCACCCACGGTCCATCCTTACC